CTTGTTGGGAGTCCCAGTGTCCTGTTTCTTACTGCCCTCCAAGAACTGCTACTGGAAACAAACTCCTAAGCTAAACAGTGGGAGCTACCAGCAAGATGATACTATAAAACACCAACATGAAGGTGGAGATGGCATGGGAATGCAAAAGGGTAAAGAGCAAACACTAAACTTACCTCCCGTCCGGAGAGCTGCAGCTAGCATCTCCCTACATTTTAACCGCACAGAATCAGAAGTGCTTGGTGCCCGAGGAAAAGATGAAACATAAGTGTCTCGAGCATTTGTCTCATCCTTTCTGCTGCTTACATTGCTGCTGGAACTACTAAAATACACATATGGGGTACACGGATCAGAAAACAATCAGGAAAACCTTCTAAATAGATTTATCATTGCTCTCTAAAAATAAAACTTGGGTCTAAATGAGATAGTATTTCAGTCACTACTACATTTTTAAAAATTTCAGTTCAATAGCTCAATCTCATGTCTTAAAAACACAAAACAACCACAAAGTGGTGGTGCACACCCTTAATCCCAGCACTCAGGAGGCAGAGGCAGGTGGATCTCCAGGTATAAGGCCAACCTGGTCTACACAGTGAGTTCCAAGACAGCCAGGGCTACCCTGTCTCAAAAAACCAAATTAGAAACAAAAACAAATATTCTCATTTTATTTCCCTCTAAACATTAACAGCAATTTTTTTTTTCTTTTGTGAGAAGGAGTCTAACTACGTAGCCCTGAATAATTTGGAGGTATCTATGTAAACCAGGCTGGCCTCAACTCAGAGGTCTTCCTGCCTCTGTCTTGTGAGTGCTAATGATTAAAGTGAGCACCATCACAGTCAGCCCTACACTATTTCTAACAGGAAAAAATATACATTATAGTTTAGCACACTACACAGACATCAAGGATCTTGGCTTGAGGAAAGGGATGAGGCATGGAGCCAGAAAACAGGGCAATGCAGCCAAACTAGAAAGAGGAAAAAATTGTTTCAAAACCTCCATACTAGTTAAGACAACAGCGCTCTAGTGAAACTTTAAGAACAAGAGCAGGTAAAAAGACTGTAAAAAGATTTCTTCCTAGAAATAGTACCTTAATCTGAATAGTCTAAAAATTTTCTAATCTTTCAAAACTTTAATTACATCTGATTAACTTCTTATACCGGATATTCACCCAAACAAGTTCTTTTCAAAATGTTTCTGTGAAATCTCAATTAAGTGTTGCAACATTAATGATATCTATCACAAATCTTTTTCAAAGATTTATTAAGCTGCCCATCCCTTACTATCTACCGTAGAACTAACTTGCTGTGTTTGCTGTCAAGAATACATGTCCTCCACTTCTCTCCAGGAAAAACTACTATTAAACATCAAAACAGGTCACTATGGACAACAGTCATCTGTGTCATCTAACTCTAGTTTTTTCAGAGGCCATCTCTTATGACCCCCTGAATTTAGAAAATATTGTCTATACAAAGGTTTGCACATAGCTATTCACATGCTCCCCTGCAAGACCAAGTTTCTCAAAAGCAAGAACTAGGATTTCATCCTGTGTGTATTTTTAACTGTAGCAGAGCACCTGTCTGTAGTAAATGAAAAAAGAATAGTTCATTTTTGAGATAGTTTTATGTAGCCCAGGCTAGCTTTGAATTCTCTATGACCTCAAATTTCTGATCTTTCTGCCTCTACCTCCCAAGTACAGGATTACATATGTGTGCCACTATGTCCCATTTTATGGGTTCTGGGAATTGAATCCAGGCTTCGCATATGCTCAGCAAGCACTATACCAACTAAACTACATCTCCAGCACCCAACCAATGTTCAAAATCAAAACAAAACTTAAATACTTTAAAGGCTTTTGCCTTTTTGCCTATGGACAACAATTAGCTAAAGCACTGAAACCTGCCTGTGTGTACTGATGGAGCCTAGCTTCACTATTTCCAACCCTACCTCTTAAAATGTAATGCCTAGGTTTGAAGTATTTAAATCAAAAGTTTTTCAAATTCTTCCAAAATGTAAACCCTTGCTCAACCTCAAGCCACTCAGATCTGACTTACAACTTCCTTTATATTATACATCAGACTAGTCTACTTTTGTAGACTTCTGTTTTTCTTCTAAAATTCTAAGAAATCTTGCTAAAAAATTTTTGAGGGCCATACATGTGTACTAGTTCCATCTGACTAGATAGTGGAAAGAGGAGTGCAGGCACAATCAGAAGACCAGAACAAAGTGATGGAGCAGGTAAACTATCTAGTTATCCTGGCTGCTTGTTTGTTTTTGTTTACTTGACACAAGCTAGAGTTGTCTGGCAAGAGGAACCTCAACTGAGAAAATGGCTCTACCAGTAGAACAGTCTGTGGGCATTTTTTGATTAATATTTGATACTGGAGGGTCCAGCTCATTGGGGATGGTGTCACCATTGAGCAGGTGGTCCTGGGTTGTACAAGACAATAGAAAACAAGCCACAGGAAGCAAGCAAGTAAGCAGCATTCATTCCTCCATGGCTTCTGCTTCAGTTCCTGCTTTGGCATCCTTCAATGAGCTGTGTCCTGGGATATGTAAGCCAAAAAAGCCCTTTGGTTCATGTTTTTTTTAGGGTTTTTTGAGACAGGGTTTCTTTGTGTAGCCTTGGCTAAACTGGAACTCACTATATAGATCAGGCTGGTCTTGAACTCAGACATCTGCCTGCCTCTGCCTCCCGAGTACTAGAAACCCTAAAATAGCAACCTCAGCAGAAATTAATTTTTATAAAGTAAATTACCTTTCTTCTCTTGCTTCAGGGCTATTCTGTGATGAAATTGTAGGTTCTTTTTTCTTTTCTTCAGGGTCTTTATCAGTTGATGGACCATCTGAAAAATTTATCAAATGCCTAAACAGTCTACTTTTGTTAAAGATGAAAATTAAAAAGTATTGTACATTAATAACCTATACACACCAAAAACAAATAAATAAATGAAAATAAAGACTCAAACCTGTTCACCATTAAAATCTTCAATTTCCCACAACTGTATATAAAGTATAAGCAAATTACTATGTTAGCATATGTACTGGAGTATTTTTCACAACAGCTGTACAAACAACACTCTTAAATTGTCACTTGCAAAGAAATAGAAATTCGCATGCCAATGGTACCTGCAAGTTTAAAAGGAAAAAATAAAAAGGAAAGAGTGTGGACCCACACACCCATCCTGAAAATGAGAGCCCAGGCACAGAGAACAATAGTATTTGAGTGACCTTTCAAGAGGTTAAAAACTTTAAAATACTACCTAACGCACAGTTTATGTTTCTGGGCCAGTAAATGAAGAACATCTTCATAGAGACCATTCCAGTATCAGGATGGTACATCCAAAACCTCCTTTTACTCAATAATCTATGAACAGAGCAGAGTCTGCACCCTTTAAGACTTGGAACAGTGATTCTCAACCTGGGGTGTCATATCTCAAATATCCTGCATAACAGACACTTACATTATGATTCATAACAGTAGCAAATTACAGTTATGAAGTAGCCACAAAATAATTTTATGCTTGGGGTCACCACAACATGAGGAAGGAAGTGTATTAAAGGGTCGCAGCATTAGTATGGTTGAGAACTACTGACTGAGAGGAAAGTGACCAGACATTGTAAACAGATATAACATGAGTTAATGCAATCATTGCCCTGACAAGAAGCATTCATCTTATGCCAGTCAAAATTGTCCCTGAGCTAGGTTTAGATAACATTTAGGTCCACTGTAGAAATTATTTCACTTATCTATACTTTGCTCTCTGGGATATCTCACTTTCTGTATAAAACACTGCAAATACATATGAACTGTAATAGATTGCATCCCATCATACAGAATAAGAATCCACCAAAGAATATGTTTCCTAACAGTTTAATGATGACTTGAAGAATAAAGAAATTAAAATTTGTAACCATAAATATAAAGAGGGGGTTAGGGAAAAATTATGATACTAAATTGGAGGAGGAGATCTGATAAAATGTAAGACAGTTTTGGGATCTTAAAACATCTCTCATAGACTGTTACAAGAAGGACAATAAAGTATACACTTTGACTGGGTATGAGACGTAAGAATCTAATACACTTAGGGAGTATTCCAACTGTGGATGTAAAACACGATCTAATCACGAGAAAACAGTAGATAAAACAGAATAAGGGAACATGCCAAAGAAGCAAGAGAGGCGTTAGGTCTTAAATCTAGGACAAATGGCTGAGGTGCCTATTTAACATACTCTGATAGTTTGATATAATTGGCCCCCATAAGACATAGGGAGTGTCACTATTGGAGATGTGGCTTTGTTGGAGCAGGTGTGGATTTGGTGGAGGAAGTGCGTCACTGTGGAGGCGAGCTTTGAAGTCTCACATATGCTTAAGCCACACCTAGTATCTCAGACTACTTCCTGTTGCCTACAGCATCAAGATTTAGCTCCTTCTCCAGCAACATGTCTGCCTTTATGCTGCTATGTCCAGCCATGATAATGGACTAAACCTGTGAAAATGTAACCTACCTCCAATTAAATGGTTTTCATTCATAAGAACTGCCACGGTCATGGTGTCTCTTCACAGAAACAGAAACACTAAGACACATTATCAAAATGGACCTGAACGTGGGGTTCCCCCTGCACCTCTCAGTTTGTTCAAAACTGTTACAGGACCCTCCTGGTTGGTATAACCCATTCCCTATGCTAAATTCTCCAGCCCAGAGGCTGGGCTGTCCTTCCTCCAGATGCTCCTCCCTATATAATCCAGTCATTTTGGTTAGCCCTCCTCCTTTGGGCCTCATTTTTCTCTCTCCCCTCCCCTACTCCTCTCCACACATGGCTTAGGGTCATGACCACTCTGGACTCTCCCAGATTTCTCTGCCTCTAGCTATGTGTCCTGTTTATCTTCAATAAATTACCTCCACCAACATACCTAGGAAAAGTCATGTACTCCCTTTCCTTCCTTCCTTCCTTCCTTCCTTCCTTCCTTCCTTCCTTCCTTCCTTCCTTCCTTCCTTCCTTTCCATTCAT